GGGATCGAACCCACTACCTTGGCGTTACAAGCGCCGTGCTCTACCAGCTGAGCTACAGAGGACCACTATTAACATATGAGTACATCTAACAACTCACTCAACAGGCAGATGTCTCCCTCCACCCACTCTCCCCTACCCCTCCAGTCCACCCAGACCCAGTCACACACTAAGTGGTGCAGCAGCAGGCCCCAGAGAGCCGGGTTGCCGTGGTCAGGGTAGGGGAGTCCCGGAGGCTCATTTCAGTGTGCCGGCTGCTGGCGCTGGCTGTCATTCCACAGGAGCAGCCAGGCGGAAGGGCAGCGGGGAGGAAGGCTGGGGGGGACGTGGGGATTGGCAGGGTGGGGAGCAAGGGGAGCACAAAGGGGTGGGGGGTGCACCTCAAGGGGTTCTGATCAAGCTGTGGCACAGGGAGACATATAGCAGACGGTACAAATGAGGCTGCCTCTTTAATTAACTTGTACAGAGATTGGAGCGCAGGAGAAGTGGTTGAAGTGTGTGTTCCTGGGCTAAGCGAGAGCAAGAGAGAGAGCGCAGACACACACACAATTGTTTTTACAAAACTTCTCAAGTTCACACAGGCATTCAACATAAGTTACCACTTAACAGAAGAATAGTATCATATGATACTGTATAATACAATCAAAATAAGTATATGATACTCATCCATGACATTATTCACTATAATGCTGTTCAATTCAATCATCTCCAAGACATTTGGTTACAAGAACTCTGGGATTAGCAGACTCAAGTCTTTTTGGGGTAAGAATATGTAATATCTAGTTGCAACCTTATGTACAAGACACATGTTTTTTCCATTCACAGCAGTTCTGAGGAAATTCACTTAGCGAGAGGCTCCGGTCGAGCCTTTCTTCACAGCGAAATACAAAGAATAATTGCATAGATTCGCCCAAAATAAAAATCACTATAAGGAGGGAACTGTTTCCAGTTGCTAAAACAGTCTGGGGGAAGGCGAGGTACAGAGCGGCCCTCGCCACAGTGTTACGGATGGGCCACATTTATCATGAGGAGATTAAATAAACTGTGTGGAATGTCTGGCCTTGGTTGGAGTGCAGAGAGGCCTTTGATGTAAGGCACCGCATTCACATTTTTCACCCACAGGATTCGCAGAGGTGTAGAGTGTCTAGTCACAGTAGTGAAGAGATTCACTGAGCCACGCTGCCTGTCAATCAACTCCTTCCCCAAACATAACTTGTGGACGGCACGACCGTTGTTGGTCAGGGACAGTCACAGCGAGCAGCCCAGCATCCTGTTCTTCTGATGCTTAGACCGCCATTCCGGCTCATCATCATCAAGATTACTTTGCGGTTGCCCTGGTCAACCAGGGGTCGATCAGCGGGACCAAAATCCTTGTGGGATGTGGAGTCACCACCATTGAAAAGGTAATTCCTCATCGCTAATGATCCTTCCCTTGACTCTTCAAATTACAATACCATAAAAAGGATTTAGGGAAAACCATAGTTCTCTTCAAGGAATGGAACTCTGGAAATCCAGAAGGCTGGAACTATTTTAAGCATTTTGAGGGGATTTGATTTGATCAAGCTGTTAAGAGCGAAATCCTAGGAAATATCTGGAGAGAAACAAAGTGTCTCTGCCTCACTCCAAAAGGGACATGTCTGCCTCACTCCAACAGGGACGTGATGCTTTCACACATCTGAGACTGTGCAGGTTCCAGAAACACTGGCTGGACCCACTCTAGTCAGGGTCAGGCTACAGTCACCTTTTATACCAATGGAACCCTCATTTTACAGAATACAGCTATTATCTGGAGGTGGATCTCTTGCTATGATGATGTGTTCCAGTTTTTCAGCTTTAAAAACAACTGTCCCAGTAGAACCAAGTGAATGCAAACTTAATAAACAACCAGAAATATCAGCTTTGACCATTAGTTGGGAATAACAAAATACTGGCTTTCATGGGAGTCACGTGAGCCCTTGGGGGCTGAATACGTGTAGAACAGTCTGTAGCTCAACCTTATTTTGGGCTTACAGTGGGGGAAAAAAGTATTTAGTCAGCCACCAATTGTGCAAGTTCTCCCACTTAAAAAGATGAGAGAGGCCTGTAATTTTCATCATAGGTACACGTCAACTATGACAGACAAAATAAGATTTTTTTTCCCAGAAAATCACATTGTAGGATTTTTAATGAATTTATTTGCAAATGATGGTGGAAAATAAGTATTTGGTCAATAACAAAAGTTTCTCAATACTTTGTTATATACCCTTTGTTGGCAATGACATAGGTCAAACGTTTTCTGTAAGTCTTCACAAGGTTTTCACACACTGTTTCAGGTATTTTGGCCCATTCCTCCATGCAGATCTCCTCTAGAGCAGTGATGTTTTGGGGCTGTCGCTGGGCAACACGGACTTTCAACTCCCTCCAAAGATTTTCTATGGGGTTGAGATCTGGAGACTGGCTAGGCCACTCCAGGACCTTGAAATGCTTCTTACGAAGCCACTCCTTCGTTGCCCGGGCGGTATGTTTGGGATCATTGTCATGCTGAAAGACCCAGCCACGTTTCATCTTCAATGCCCTTGCTGATGGAAGGAGGTTTTCACTCAAAATCTCACGATACATGGCCCCATTCATTCTTTCCTTTACACGGATCAGTCGTCCTGGTCCCTTTGCAGAAAAACAGCCCCAAAGCATGATGTTTCCACCCCCATGCTTCACAGTAGGTATGGTGTTCTTTGGATGCAACTCAGCATTCTTTGTCCTCCAAACACGACGAGTTGAGTTTTTACCAAAAAGTTCTATTTTGGTTTCATCTGACCATATGACATTCTCCCAATCCTCTTCTGGATCATCCAAATGCACTCTAGCAAACTTCAGACGGGCCTGGACATGTACTGGCTTAAGCAGGGGGACACGTCTGGCACTGCAGGATTTGAGTCCCTGGCGGCGTAGTGTGTTACTGATGGTAGGCTTTGTTACTTTGGTCCCAGCTCTCTGCAGGTCATTCACTAGGTCCCCCCGTGTGGTTCTGGGATTTTTGCTCACCGTTCTTGTGATCATTTTGACCCCACGGGGTGAGATCTTGCGTGGAGCCCCAGATCGAGGGAGATTATCAGTGGTCTTGTATGTCTTCCATTTCCTAATAATTGCTCCCACAGCTGATTTCTTCAAACCAAGCTGCTTACCTATTGCAGATTCAGTCTTCCCAGCCTGGTGCAGGTCTACAATTTTGTTTCTGGTGTCTTTTGACAGCTCTTTGGTCTTGGCCATAGTGGAGTTTGGAGTGTGACTGTTTGAGGTTGTGGACAGGTGTCTTTTATACTGATAACAAGTTCAAACAGGTGCCATTAATACAGGTAACGAGTGGAGGACAGAGGAGCCTCTTAAAGAAGAAGTTACAGGTCTGTGAGAGCCAGAAATCTTGCTTGTTTGTAGGTGACCAAATACTTATTTTCCATAATAATTTGCAAATAAATTCATGAAAAATCCTACAATGCGATTTTCTGGATTTTTTTCCCCTCAATTTGTCTGTCATAGTTGACGTGTACCTATGATGAAAATTACAGGCCTCTCTCATCTTTTTAAGTGGGAGAACTTGCACAATTGGTGGCTGACTAAATACTTTTTTTCCCCCACTGTATGAATGAAATGGATCCACTTGTCTCACAGCTGCTGTAGAGGTCCATTTATACACAATAGAATCTGAGCCTAAAAGTGCAGAGGCAGACCCCGTTTTTGGGCCTGGCAGCAGCTAACGACGAAGAACACAATACCCAAAGCGCCACCACCACTGGCCCCGCCATACACTTCTGAGTGGTTCTGGGCTGCAATCCAGTCCTGAACCAAAGTCAACAAACACACGTCGGCGCAAGAGAGACGATCAGAACTTTAGTCGTTATTTGGGTTGGATGGGATAGTGCTGCATTGTGCTGCGCTGGTTACGGCGGCGGATGGACTGCGAGAGATATTTGTTCTTAATTAGAGGCGTTTAAACAAAGTCCAGATGGCATTTAAACCCACATGAATTACACATTCCAGGCCTGGCCCATATCCTTTAGCCTAGCCCCCCCCCCATTGCCCCATGCTAATTCTATTTAGTTACCTTTGTTAAAAGCCACAGGGTTTATTGATGAACGAAGCTCCCCTACATTTAACATTCTAATTGTCTTCTGAATGCTGAGAGGAACCTGTAGGCACCTCCTCTTAGTGACATTGACTCAGTTCCCTAGGTAGCCTGCATACAGCAGGAGACTACAGTTAGGACTTTGTTCTCTCGGTACATACAGCAGGAGACTACAGTTAGGACTTTGTTCTCTCGGTACATACAGCAGGAGACTACAGTTAGGATTTTGTTCTCTTGGTACATACAGCAGGAGACTACAGTTAGGACTTTGTTCTCTTGGTACATACAGCAGGAGACTACAGTTAGGACTTTGTTCTCTTGGTACATACAGCAGGAGACTACAGTTAGGACTTCGTTCTCTTGGTACATACAGCATGAGACTACAGTTAAGATTTTGTTCTCTTGGTACATACAGCATGAGACTACAGTTAGGATTTTGTTCTCTTGGTACATACAGCAGGAGACTACAGTTAGGATTTGTTCTCTTGGTACATACAGCAGGAGGACTACAGTTAGGATTTTGTTCTCTTGGTACATACAGCAGGAGACTACAGTTAGGATTTTGTTCTCTCGGTACATACAGCAGGAGACTACAGTTAGGATTTTGTTCTCTCGGTACATACAGCAGGAGACTACAGTTAGGATTTTGTTCTCTTGGTACATACAGCAGGAGACTACAGTTAGGATTTTGTTCTCTCGGTACATACAGCAGGAGACTACAGTTAGGATTTTGTTCTCTCGGTACATGCAGCAGGAGACTACAGTTAGGATTTTGTTCTCTTGGCACATACAGCAGGAGACTACAGTTAGGATTTTGTTCTCTCGGTACATACAGCAGGAGACTACAGTTAGGATTTTGTTCTCTCGGTACATACAGCAGGAGACTACAGTTAGGACTCTGGTCTTACCAGTATGACACGTCCAGAGGCTGGAAGAAGCGTCGGCTGATGAGGTCAGCAAAGAAGGCCTCAGTCTCTCGACACGCTGTGCCGTTGCCGATAACCACTGTGTTACAGCTGTGTGTATGAAAGAGTTGACGGAGAGTACAATAGTGTGAAAAAGAAACCAAAAAACATTGTGTTCTATCATAAATAATGCAAATTCACAAGAGGCCAGCAACAAATAAGGGGTTAATTGATCTATTTCTGTGAATATTCAAACTTTACAAAAATTCATCCTAAAATCCTCTTGCTTTCATTTTGATAAGTATTGTTCTTTATCTTAGTGATTACAGTGTACACACTACACAATGTGCAACAGCTTATTTGAACTCTGATCGCTAACACACCAGCTGCAGTACCTGTATCTGATCATCAGATGGCGCAGTTTGTCTGCCTCTCTGTTCCCACCTGAACCATGGAGGTACACCACATCTGTGTATAATATCTGACCTGGGACAGAAGGGAGGGGTGAGTATGTAAAATGGACAGATGCTTCGGTGTCACCAAGACAGAGGAATAAAGAAGACACACTCCTAGCTTTATCACAGGATCTGACCCAAGAAGGAGGGAGCTATAAAGAGCAAGTGAAGATGATTCTTAAAGGGAAAGACTCAAGGTTAGAAACCTCTTTTGCGAGGGGGACCTGGCAAATGGAATGGATGGACTAATACCCTTTCCATACAAGTATGCCGACCCGGACCTTACTTTGTTGGCTTGGATAATTTCCATTCAGCACTGTTCAAGCAACTAAGGTAGATAGATGCGTTATCAGGGCAGTGCAGGTCAGCTCGGCTTGCTTCAGCTCAGCTAAGCACAGCAGTGCGAAAAGGGCATTTTGAGAATACTCCTCATGTTGCACTTTTCCTCTAGCTCTGTCCATTCCTGTGCCTGTGTAGGGATGGACGGACAAAGCTGGGTCGTTCCACGAAAAGAGTGCCTTTTGCGTCCCTTTGATATTTTAAGTTGAAATTGTGCACCAATATTGAATTTTTAAAAGCCTGTTATATTAAATGAAGTGCCCTTTTATATAGACCACATGGAGAATTCAATAACTCAGATTTTTTATATGAATAAAGGCTTGCTAAAGTGCCAACATTCTGCATTTTGACATGTCCCTCCGTCAACTGTCACTTTTAGGAAGATTTCAACCCACTTAATCTAAACATTTCTCCAACTTTCACCATAATTGTAAAGCCCTAGTTATTTTGTTGCTTTGACAGTCATTTCTGAAGATTATTATTTATTTCATGTCATTAGTGATTATTTTACATCTGTCCCTCATTTTAAAGTCAACCCTGTTATGTGAACTGTACTCTCGTTCTAATAATATGTTTTTCAAAAGAAACATTGAACATCGAATAGTTAAATGATAGTGTAAAAGCAGGTGAGCTGGTTCTACTCTTTTTAGCAATTTTCTGGTGTGTTGTGGTAGAAAACGGAGCGGGTCGAGCATAACACGTTAACACTGTTACCCATAGATAGACAGGCTAGAAATGTTTTAGCAAATTCATTTTTTTGTGAAGCTTGCATTTAATTGCCACTCCCTGTTGCACACAACAAGCTTCCATTCCCAAGGGGATTTATGGCAGATTTAATTTGAAATTGTCAACCCTGCTACGGTCAACCCTGCTACGGTCAACCCTGTTACAGTCAACACTGTTGCAGTCAACACTGTTGCAGTCAACCCTGTTACAGTCAACCCTGTTACAGTCAACCCTGTTACAGTCAACCCTGTTACAGTCAACCCTGTTACAGTCAACCCTGTTACAGTCAACCCTGTTAGTGTCAACCCTGTTACAGTCAACCCTATAACAGTCAACCTAGTCAACTTTATTTGGCACTTAAAGCTGCAATATGTAACTTATGGGGTGAACCGACCAAATTCACATTGAATTCTCATCGAAAGCAAGTCTAAGAAGCGGTAGATCTGTTCTATGTGTGCTATTTCTATGCTTCCCACTCTTAAGTTTTGTTTCGCGTCTTTTTCTTTCAGTTTTGTACACCAGCTTCAAACAGCTGAAAATACAATATTTTTGGTTACTGAAAATATATTTCACTGCGGTTTAGATGGTACAATGATTCTCTACACTATACATTGTTTGTTTTGTCACAAACTGAATTTTTTTGCAGCCAGGAAATGGCGGAGCGATTTCTGCATATTGAACCTTTAATAGGCAAAAATTTGTTTTTTATGAAGTTGAACGTGCTCTTTATGACAGAATGCTAAAATTAGGTGAAATCAAACGTTTTTTTTTGACCATGTTACACTTCTCAAAAGGCACCGAATTGGTGGAACGACTCAGCTGCTGCCGTCTCCTGTCAGGCTGATGGGGCACGACTGATCCTATTAGATGGCTCCGACGGGAGGTCATGTGACCACACACCCCCAGACCTGTCATGATCAAGCTGAGTGTGTGTGTATGTGTCTTTGCGTGTCTGTTTGCGGGTCTATTTGTGTGTGTTTGCTGCAGGGCAGATGCCAAAACACAGGAATGCCAGCTGACACACACCCGCCATGTGGGCAGCGTGAGCTGCGCCTGGGCGATCAGCTGCCCAGGAGGAGGGCCCAAACGTGGCCCTGCATGGGGCCCCGCCCACAGAGGCCCACTGGGAGGAACGTCCATCAGCTCTTTTGGGTGGAGAGGAGAGGGCCCTTGTTCCTCCAGTAGTACAGACTAGTAGAGACTACAGTATAGACCAGACATGTGTGACTGGTCTTTGCAGATATGCTAGGATGTTCATTTTTACATAGAATGAACTACTGGGATGACAGATTTTCTCTGATCTAGAAGCAGTCTTTTGACTGAAACACCAATCTCCACCCTATACCCAGAAATGCAGAGTGGAAGAGGGGCATGTTAGTGTGGGTTCTTACTGGTAGGGGAGAGGACGGCCAGTTTACAGCCGTGTCTGAACCCTGGGTCCACGCCCATGATGACACGGCCTCTCACAGGACACACCAACAGACGCTGGCGCAAGTTACGCACAAACATGGCTATGGACTCCTTCTCCGCACTAACCGTCAGCTTCGTCCTGACAGAGAGAGAGCAAGAGACAGAGACAGAGAGCGAGAGAGAGAGGAGGTATTTAAAATACAGTACGGTAAAGTCAAATAACTTAGTGGAACACACACACACAGAGTTCAGTACAGACCTGTAGCTTCTGCTGAGCAGGGGTAATAAGAGTCTTTTGTACGAGTCCTCCACGGCATCGCGCAAGATCTTCATCAGCTCCTCTCTAGCGTAACCCTTGGGTCTCCATCTACAGTGGAAACCAAAAATTCAATTGAGTCATTTTCTGATAAATATAAATATATATCTATATATATATATATAATATATATATATATATATACATACACAGAATCCATTTTGGTGTGAATCTGATGTTTTAGTGTAAATCTGTGAATTTTGTAAACTGAAAATCTAAGATTTCACTGTTTTTACCCTTTTCTTTCTTTTGATCAGGAAAGGATTGGTTACATACATGGCTTCAGTAAAATACAGGTCCTTTCACATACCTTGCCCTTATAGGTTACAGTACAGCTCCATGACTAAATAAAGTCTTGGTTTGCAATTTTTACACCACCACTTAAAACGTGATCTTTTTCACTGCTATTGTTATGAATGGGATGCCTGGAGAGTTTAAAGAAACTAACAAGTTAAGCAGATGTTAAAATAGAATGAAAGAAACATTTTACAAGAAAAGGATTTAACAAAATACATTAAAAACATTTTTGGGGGGAAATTAATATGTTTAAATATTGATCTCCTCACAAACCATTTTGAATCACACAAAACACTCATGTATTCGTTTGATACACTTTCAGACCATGTTAAGCAAGTACACCTTTAGTAACTGCAGAGAATATTTTAAAAATGTATAGTAGGAATTAGCAAAATTGCTGGGATCTCAAATTATACACAAAGTAGATCTACATTTATGTAAGAAATAATGTGATTTATAATATAATATAATACGCCATTTAGCAGACGCTTTTATCCAAAGCGACTTACAGTCATGTGTGCATACATTTTTACGTATGGGTGGTCCCGGGGATCAAACCCACTACCCTGACGTTACAAGCGCCGTGCTCTACCAATTGAGCTACAGAGGATATTATAATTTATAATACAATGTTATTCACAAACAATTAATACAAGAAATACAGAAAATCAATATGCAAAAAAAATATTTTACAAGATTGAAAACAAATTAGTTTGAGAGAAAAAAACAGGGCCTTGGTCTATAATATCTCACTCAAATACATTTTCTAAAACACAACAAAATGTGTTAATTTGTGTTTTCTTGTATATCAACAGATTAGAATATCCTATTATAGTCTACTTCAAAACAAAAGCATTTAATGTGCTGTTATGAAAACAATCTAATGTGCTGTCTCATTTACTGTGGTGTTTTCATTTATTTCACTGAAAAACTCATATTTAGGGTCAATGTTGTTGTACAGTGTAATCTGATGTATTTAAAAGCATGATCATATGATATTTAAAATAATATTTTGAGAGCTCTACAGCTCTACAGTACACATCGGAATATATAAAAAAATTATCCATTTGGGAATCTATTTTAAAACAAGAGACTGGAAAACTATTTTACTAACACCATAAAAAGCCACTGAGCTGTGAATGTGGAGAGGCATTTTCACATTGATCATTCTATGATCTTTACTGCATTGAATCCAACTTGTGAGTGAGGGTACATTTCCCCAAAAACATTGTAAATGATTATTGCTAAGCCGTGTTATGCATAGTATTTTACAAAGATTTTATTTACACAAAGAGAAAGAAGCTAACTTTGACTTTATCTGTGGCTATATGAGCTTTAAAGACAAAGAACAGGTATATAATAACTGCATGGAGCTTTCAGTGACTTTCTGTGTCTGGCTCTAGAAGGGGCCACAGTAACCAATACAGAAACATCGACTGTATGATTATACATGAACCTGACTCCCACCTATGCCCTTCACACCTGGGGGACAGATTGCAGACGGCCACAACTGTACTGACACCACCGTTACAGGCTGGCACAGGGCACAGACGGAGAGAGGGAACAGGGAGGTAGAGGAGAGAGAAGTTCAAGGGCTCTGTGTGTGTGTGTGTGTGTGTGTGGGGGGGGGGGGGGGTGTGCAGGGAGGAGACCGACCTGACGTTGACACACCACCTACAGAAGTCGCTCTTCACCCTGTCAGGGATGTTGACCTTCACTGTCAGAATCTTCAGATTCTCCCCTCGGTTAATGGCCAGGGTCTGCAAGGAAAACATAACCTGTTGAGACAGGCGACACACGGCACCACACGGCAAAGACCCCCACGCCCCCCAACGACTCACACACACACACTTTCCAAAAACAGCACAGAAAGCCAACCCCCGCTACACCGGCATGGACACACACACACACACACACACACACACAGTCTGCTCACACAGTCTACACTGTAGAAAATCTCTCTGCTCTCTCCCACTCCTTCCTCCATCTAGCTCTAAGGACAGGCGGCATGCTGTTAAGCAAATAGTTTTAAGTGTCTGACCTTTTCGGAGGAAAACCTTTTGGAGAGAAAGGGTAGAAATTACCCGTCAATCTGGATTCGATGCGGAAGAGTCAAGTTGACAAATGCCACGCCACCAACCTCCCCCCCACATCCTACCAGCCTGCCACCAAGCAGCCACCACATCCACCCCCGCCCTCCACATCACAACAGCTAATGGCCAGATCGGGACAGAAATTAATGCTGCAAGAATTATGATGAAAAATATATTTCCTTTTTTGGCATGTTCCCCCCTTGAGCTTTTCTGTTCGCTGGGCAATTTCTCATGCGATATTCATCAAATCTGAAGTTTTGCGTGCAATCGAACAAAGTCGGACAAAACATCCAACAAACTTTTATGTCCTCCCCCACATACTCTACTCCTCCTCACTGACTGGGGTTTCTCAAAGGGACAACTCAGTGGAGAACGCCATAAAGAAAAACAGACGGATGTTCTGTCAGAGAACAGGCATCTATCCCAGTCCTGTCTGTGTTGGTGAGTCAGTGTTCATTAAAGAGGATGACCTGGGTGAGAATGCTGGAGGTGATGGCTGTGACAGCTACCTGAATGCTGGCCACAACAAGACACCCCCCTGCCACGCATCCTCCATCGCTCTGGGCCTGATGGGACGGCTAGCTACCTCTATCACCAAACACCATTGAATCAACACTCCAAGCGCCACAAATGTAGATGGCAGGGGGACGTAGCATAATACTCAGTAACGGGAAACATCCCTATCACTCCATTACGGTTTCCTCCCCATCACACACTCCCAGAATTTTTTTCCACAACTAGTGATGGTTGAAAAAAAAAGATAGTTAAATATAAGGATATTATTTTTGACGATATATGGTATCGTTTTGACTATATAGCAATATCATTTTTGTGCTAGTTGACTGTACCTGCACCAAAACTCCAGTATTTTTTCTTCTTGTTCTCCATCTTTAAAAAAAAAATAGGTAGCCAATTTGTTTTCCACACTTTTATTTCCACGACTAATGAAAACTATTTTTCTCATGGCTCTCTCTTGTCCCTCTGCAGCAGATATATGGTGATCAATATGTTTGGAACATCGAATCCCAATAAAATCACAGTATCGATACAATACATATAGAATCGTGAGAGTCTCAATACATATCGTATCAGCACAAAAGTATTGTGATAATATCGTATCGTGAGGTCCATGGCAATTCCCAGCCCTATCCACAACTAGGAACAATTCTAAGCCAAACTGATAGCATTTGAGTGTAGAACCAGCCAAAACTACACAGAAAAAACAAGCTCATATTTTCGCATGCTATGATGTGAACTACATCACATCTCCCTGATAGATTTAATGAGTGTTTGGCAGATATTAAGAGGTCGTTCCAAGACAGTCTGACAAATTCAATTCTTCCAGCTTTTCCTACTGCAGGACATGCAAGTTCAGTATTTACATTATTAATATAAAGAAAAAATAAATATCCAACATATCATGTTCTTCATAAACAATGAAATCATATAATTGGAAAAATATGAGGAATGTCAGCTACATTAATGAATATTATTCTTAAAACTGAGCGATTCCGATTAAATATTGACTTTCTAAATAAGAGCAAGGAATGGTGAATGTGTTGCTTGTGGAACTGGGCGATAGGCAGGGCTCAAAGAAAACAAGACGACGTGGTGAACTTTGAACTCCTTATCTTTTCATTTTCAGAACAAACACACACAACATGGGGGTTGCGACACACACCAATGAGTGTTCTCAAGAAAAAATAAACTTGATCCCATGTTTTATAGGAAAACATTTAGTTTTAAATAAATATCATGTTAGTTTTGGGTTGAATAAAGACTTGTTTTCATTATTTGTTCATCGTGTTAGAATCATAAATATTCAATGTAATACTGAGATTATCGCAGCCAAAAATAATTTTTAAGCATTTCATATATATATATAATATATATATATACAGTTGAAGTCGGAAGTTTACATACACTTAGGTTGGAGTCATTAAAACTGGTTTTCAACCACTCCACTAATTTCTTGTTAACAAACTATACTTTTGGCAAGTCGGTTAGGACATCTACTCTGTGTATGACACAAGTCATTTTTCCAACAATTGTTTACAGACTATATCACAATTCCAGTGGGTCAGAAGTTTACATACACTAAGTTGACTGCGCCTTTAAAAAGCTTGGAAAATTCCAGAAAATGATGTCATGGCTTTAGAAGCTTCTGATAGGCTAATTGACATCATTTGAGTCAATTGGAGGTGTACCTGTGGATGTATTTCAAGGCCTACCTTCAAACTCAGTGCTTCTTTGCTTGACATCATGGGAAAATCAAAAGAAATCAGCCAAGACCTCAGAAAAAAAATGGTAGACCTCCACAAGTCTGGTTCATCCTTGGGAGCAATTTCCAAACGCCTGAAGGTACCACGTTCATCTGTACAAACAATAGTACGCAAGTATAAACACCATGGGACCACGCAGCCGTCATACCGCTCAGGAAGGAGACGCGTTCTGTCTCAGCAAGGAAGAAGCCACTGCTCCAAAACCGCCATAAAAAAGCCAGACTACGGTTTGCAACTGCACATGGGGACAAAGATCGTACTTTTTGGAGATATGTCCTCTGGTCTGATTAAACAAGTATAGAACTGTTTGGCCATAATGACCATCATTATGTTTGGAGGAAAAAGGTGGTCGCATGCAAGCCGAAGAACACCATCCCAACCGTGAAGCACGGGGGTGGCAGCATCATGCTGTGGGGGTGCTTTGCTGCAGGAAGAACTGGTGCACTTCACAAAATAGATGGCATCATGAGGAAGGAAAATTATGTGGATATATTGAAGCAACCTCTCAAGACATCAGTCAGGAAGTTAAAGCTTGGTCGCAAATGGGTCTTCAAAATGGACAATGACCCAAAGCATACTTCCAAAGTTGTGGCAAAATGGTTCAAGGACAACAAAGTCATGGTATTGGAGTGGCCATCACAAAGCCCTGACCTCAATCCTATAGAACATTTGTGGGCAGAACTGAAAAAGCGTGTGCGAGCAAGGAGGCCTACAAACCTGACTCAGTTACACCAGCTCTGTCAGGAGGAATGGGCCAAAATTCACCCAACTTATTGTGGGAAGCTTGTGGGAGGCTACCTGAAACGTTTGACCCAAGTTAAACAAATTAAAGGCAACGCTACCAAATACTAATTGAGTGTATGTAAACTTCTGACCCACTGGGAATGTGATGAAAGAAATAAAAGCTGAAATAAATCATTCTCTCTACTATTATTCTGACATTTCACATTCTTAAAATAAAGTGGTGATCCTAACTGACCTAAAACAGGGAATTTTTACTAGGATTAAATGTCAGGAATTGTGAAAAACTGAGTTAAAATGTATTTGGCACACATATATATATATATATATATACACACACACACACATATATACACACACACACACATATATATACACACACATACATATATATATATATATATATATATACACACACACATACACATATATATATACATACACACACACACACACACACACATATACACACACACATATATATATATACACACACACACAGTACATGCATACTCATTCCAGGGTTTTTCTTTATTTTTACTATTTTCTACATTGTAGAATAATAGTGAAGACATCAAAATTATGAAATAACACATATGGAACCACGTAGCAACCCATTTAAAAAAAAAACAAATCCAAATATATTTTAAATTCTTCTAAGTAGCCACCCTTTGCCTTGATGACAGCTTTACACACTCTTGGCATTCTCTCAACCAGCTTCATGAGAAATGGTTTTCCAACAGTCTTGAAGGAGTTCCCACATATGCTGAGCACTTGTTGGCTGCTTTTCCTTCACTCTGTGGTCCAACTCATCCCAAACCATCTCAATTGGGTTGAGGTCTGGTGATTGTGGAGGCCAGGTCATCTAATGCAGCACTCCATCACTCACCTTTTTGGTCAAATAGCCCTTACACAGCCTGGAGGTGTGTTGGGTCATTGTCCTGTTGAAAAACAAATTATAGTCCCACTAAGCGCAAACCAGATGGGATGGCGTATCGCTTCAGAAACCCTTGAGTATGTGTGTCCAAACTTTTCACTGGTACTATATATATATATATTAATATATACACACATATATATACACACACACACTGAGTGTTTTAAACATTAACAACACATTCCTAATATTGAGTTGCACCCCCCCCTTTTGCCCTCAAAACATCTTCAATTCGTCGGGGCATGGACTCTACAAGGTGTCAAAAACGTTCCCCAGGAATGCTGCTCCATGTTGACTCCAATGCTTCCCACACGAATGGTGGTGCACCATTCTTGATACACACAGGAAACTGTTGAGCTTGAATAACCCGGCAGCGTTGCAGTTCTTCACACAAACCGGTACGCCTGGCCTGGCACCTACTACCATACCCTGCTCAAAGGCACTTCAATCTTTTGTCTTGCCCATTCACCCTCTGAATGGCACACATACGCAATTCATGTCTCAATTGTCTCAAGGCTTAAAAATCCTTCTTTAACCTGTCTCCTCCCCTTCATCTACACTGATTGAAGTTAATTTAACAAGTGACATCAATAAAGGATCATAGCTTTCACCTGGTCAGTCTATGTCATGGAAAGAGTAATGTTCATAATGTTTTGTACACTCAGTGTATACTTATATTTAAATTTTAGTCATTTAGCAGACACTCTTATCCAGAGCGACTTACAGTTAGTGAGTGCATACATTTTTCATACTGGCCCCCCATTGGAATCGAACCCACAACCCTGGCGTTGCAAGCGCCATGCTCTACCAACTGAGCTACAGGACGGTTTTATATATCTATATATAAAACAATTTCCATACAGTATACTCAACATGTTTCACTTTAAATGTCCTACTGTATGTTACTGTATTGTCTTACCCTGATGGTATAGTCTGTAATATTGTTGGCCCTAAAACAAATGCCTTATCATCCATTGTTGATTGGCAATAAAGTCTGAATTAAATTGAATCAAAGCTAAAGAATGAAACATACTGTGATTATTCTAAAATGAGAGAATGAAATCACATTATTCCCTTAGCCTATATTTTAGCTTTGACTTGACAAAAATAATTGCCACTCATATAAATGTGTAATCTCATAAAACAACAATGTTTTAACTGAAATAAAATAAAGGGGGAAAACATCCAAATTACAAGATCTCTCTGACTAGTCTTGGATAATTTGTTTTAATGCAAAGTTTATTTTTGAAATTGTAGATAATCATTAAACCATCATTTCAAAATGGGCCGTTTCTCTATCATTATTAAGAAAATCTAGCACACAAACACACACACGTCTGGCTGCGTGTAATGCAAATTGCTGCCAATCCAACTGCAGAGAACAGGCATGTATTTCCCCACCTGTCCATCAAAGCTGGACTAGAATCGAGGAAGCAGACAAGTGTAGGTCTGCTACACTCCAGGCCAACCACAGACAAGAAGATTAGAAAACAGTTGGAGACGCAAATCGAATTAGAGCTGTGGATAGAAAAACTAATCCCTAATGGCATATTGCGAAATATAAACAAGACGTTAATAGCTATGGAGAGGCACTGTTGTTGCACTCTAACTATGGCTAAAATTGAGTTTGACAATATGATGCCCTGTTGTTAATATACACTACCGTTCAAAGGTTTGGGGTCACATAGAAATGTCAGTGTTTTCGAAAGAAAAGCAATTTTTTTGTCCATTAAAATAACATCAAATTGATCAGAAATACAGTGTAGACATTGTTAATGTTGTAAATGGCTATTGTAGCTGGAAACGGCTGATTTTTAATGGAATATCTACATAGGCGTACAGAGGCCCATTATCAGCAACCATCAGTCCTGTGTTCCAATGGCACGTTGTGTTTGCTAATCCAAGTTTATCATTTTAAAAGGCTAATTGATCATTAGAAAACCCTTTGCAATTATGTTAGCACAGCTGAAAAATGTTGTGCTCATTAAAGAAGCAATAAAACTGGCTTTCTTGAGACTAGTTGAGTATCTGGAGCATCAGCAATTGTGGGTTCGATTACAGGCTCAAAATGGCCAGAAACAAAGAACTTTCTTCTGAAACTCGTCAGTCTGTTCTTGTTCTGAGAAATGAAGGCTATTCTGTGCGAGAAATTGCCAAGAAACTGAAGATGCTCCAGATACTCAACTAGTCTCAAGAAAGCCAGTTTTATTGCTTCTTTAATGAGCACAACATTTTTCAGCTGTGCTAACATAATTGCAAAGGGTTTTCTAATGATCAATTAGCCTTTTAAAATGATAAACTTGGATTATCAAATACAATGTGCCATTGGAACACAGGACTGATGGTTGCTGATAATGGGCCTCTGTACGCCTATGTAGATATTCCATTAAAAATCAGCCGTTTCCAGCTACAATAGCCATTTACAACATTAACAATGTCTACACTGTATTTCTGATCAATTTGATGTTATTTTAATGGACAATTTATTTTTATTTTCTTTCAAAAACAAGGACATTTCTAAGTGACCCCAAACTTTTGAACGGTAGTGTATATTCAACTTTGGTGGGAAGATAAACTGTGGTTGTAAGTTGTAAGTAATTATTAGGAAGTAATCAATAATGCTTAATGGACTCACAAACTATAAATATAAACTAAATAAGTTTTGCAACACAGAAAATGTATATAACATGTTATCTAACCATTTAGTAATTGTTTGAGGAAGTATTCTATGTCGGTTTATGAAGGTTAGAGAAAGAGCCAAAGTGGCAGCAACCATTTCCATTCTGAACATAGAACACAAAGCCACCTTACAGCACATTTCTAGGGTCAATATTTACAATGGTGAAATCTAAAACTAAACTCGACGGGCTATCCCTGACCATCTGAGAAAAATTGTGCTACTC